TTAGAAAGTTAACAGTTGCCAGTGGGCAACCTACGAATTACTACGTTACAAACGCAACGCAACGCAACACAACGCATGGTCGGCGATGAACCTCCGAGTTTCGAGTCCGCGGAGAACTGCCAAGTAGCATCGTCACGATCTTGTTCTGGCTCCTTTGAAGTTTGAGGTGATGGCATTTAGTACAACATTTAGCGCAGGCCTTGCTCTTTGATCAGAGAGTGTGTTTTTAATCGCTGTGCCAGGTTGGTCGAGGAAAATTTCGAGTACGAGTCGGTGATTGCAGTTTGCTCATAAGTGCCTGAGTAAATGCAAGTACATCGATGATTACCCGTAGGAACGATAGTAAAGATATATATATATATATATATATATCCATATTCTTGTTTATGTCCGGGCGTGTTTGCCGTACAGAAACCTTTTAATTTGATTTTGTGTGAAGGATGGGTTTCGGGTGTTGAAGGGCATATGAGTGATCGCAGGATTAGGATTACGATAAGGTTGATACATTGAAAAATGTATCCCTTCAGTTTGAGAAGTACTTCACCTCGCAACTGATGAACCATTTTGATGGCCCACATTACCGTGCAGGCGCCATGGGTTGACAGGGTCCAGAATTGGACAGTTTGATGTTTCTAAAGAAATATAAGTTAAAACTGTATTTGTGATATTTATCTCCATACATTCTTTGTTGTTTTCTAGCAGATAATCATGTAAGTGTTCGCTGATTCAAATACTAAATGGGATGAACATTGAGCTGTCCATAGTTGGACGTTGTTGAACTTGTGGTATTTGCACAACATTGTTTGTGAGTACCCAACTAACCATATAATCACAAATACTTTTAAATGTAGGTTAAACGGCGCCGGTGGTGTAGTGGTAAGTGTGATTACCTCTCACCCCAGCAGGCCTGGGTTCAATCCCAGTCGGCGCCGCCGGGATGTTCTGAGGCATAACATCTCTGATCACGCCTTCCTTCGGATGGGAAGTAAAGCCGTTGGTCCCCGGTTCATGAGTTGATGGGTCGATAGGTAGGGTCCAGGTGTGGGAGTTGCCTTCCTGGCACGTCGGTAGCATTGGTGCTCAGCACGGAAAACAAGATCGACGAAAAAACAAACCAAAGGAAAAAAAAAACTTAAATGTAGGTTCGAAGTGAGACAATGTCAATAAGACACGATATGGTTAATTGGGTATTCAGATGAATCTATAACTTCAAAAAATAAATCCTGGTTATATCTCTACATGTAACACTATTTTATATTACTATCCATATGATGCACCGAACGTTCATTCCGGGTGGCGAGCGAACCTGAAGAAGAAGAAGAAGAAGAAGAAGAAGAAGAAGAAGAAGAAGAAGAAGAAGAAGAAGAAGAAGAAGAAGAAGAAGAAGAAGAAGAAGAAGAAGAAGAAGAAGAAGAAGAAGAAGAAGAAGAAGAAGACACATTAGAAGAAGAAGCAGACTATACAGTATGAATGGTACCATAGAGCCCCTTCTCGGAACGAGTGTATTGGTAATGGACCTGGTCTACGCTTCAAAGTTGACTTCTGTGATGTTGGTATCACTTAAAAGGTAACATAGATAGCATCATCTTCATTGAAATGTAATTATTACTGATAATAATCGTAACTAGATGATATGCAAATTTATATGATAGGTAACTGGATCAACGATATTAAAACATGCGCATTCAATCTCGACGACTTCTAATTCTGCATTTCAACACCTTTGACTCTCCGTTCTCTTATCCTTCACCTATGCATCTACGCTTATTTGCTAAGAATCAACTTAACCCTCATTAATCATTATATATAACATATAAATATACATTCAAATGCAGATACAAAAGGGAAGGAAGGGTCCAACAGGGCACCCGATTGAAGCGATTTGGACGGGGAGAGTGGAAATGCCAACTCCCTGTTGATAACATTTCGTGGCTAAAGGGCGGGCTCTTCTCCCCATTCATTGGGGCATCTTCCTGTTTGGGAGCTCGTCTTTTTGACCAATTGCACGATCATTATTTATTATCGAGATTCTTTACTGTCCCGTAGATGCGTATAGGCTACTTGGCCCTTCATACAGTGACATGTTGAGGACAATCAGTGGTTATTAAACTTGATCAAGACAAACAGAGAAGATAGTCCACTGCTAACGGACTTAGTTTCCATGCTACAATGGTTGGCAGGCCACTATAAAGCATCATGGCTGGTCGCTCCTCTGCAACTAACTTGCCCTGCCTTACTTCCTACATCTCTAACAGTATGTCGGATCGTGCTCAGACGGATGTCATTTATACTGACTTATCTGCTCCCTTCGATAAATTGAATCACCGCATATCAATCGCTAAACTGGACAGGCTTGATATCCACAGCTGCCTTTTGCAATGGTTGCAGTCGTACCTCACCGATCGCTATCTTACTGTTATCATTGGTGATCACCAGTCCCGTACGTTCGCTGCCACATCCGGCATACCTCAGGGTAGTCACCTGGGACCGCTGATTTTCCTGATTTATTTCAACGACGTGAATCTGGTAATTGAGGGACCACGATTATCTTACGCAGATGACCTTAAACTCTACCTCCGAATTCACTCAATTGAAGACTGTTGCTTCCTTCAACGTCAGCTGAATGCTTTTGCTGATTGGTGTATTCTGAATCGTATGGAGGTTAACCCGTCCAAATGCTCGGTTATCTCTTTTTCGCGCAAGAAAGAGACTATTATGTTCAAGTATGTTTTGTTAGGCACTGAAATTGAGCGCGTCAGCCAAATTAAGGACCAAGCAGCACATCTCGCACGCCGTCGACAAAGCTTCCAGAATTATAGGGTTTATCTTCAGGATTGCCAAAGACTTCACGGATATCTACTGCCTTAAATCGTTGTACTGCTACTTGTCTCGCTCCATACTAGAATACTGCTCGGTTGTCTGGACTCCTCACTACAACAACGGTGTCGAAAGAGTTGAGTCTGTTCAGCGACGGTTCCTGAGATATGCGCTACGTAAACTGCCGTGGACGGATCCCGTCCAATTGCCTAGCTACGAAAGTCGTTTGCAACTGATCCATCTGGAGCGCCTGTCGGTCCGAAGAGATACAGCAAGGGCATTGCTAATTGCGGATATTTTGCAAGGACGCATCGATTGCCTTGTCCTCCTTGAGCAAATTGACATCAATGTTCAACCCCGAGCCCTACGGAATAATTCAATGCTGCGCCTGCCCATACAGCGAACTAATTATATCATGTTCGGTGCAATCGGTGGTTTACAGAGACTTTTCAATAGGGTCTCCGCACTGTTTGATTTCTACCTGACTCGCCAGCTGCTTCGCCGGAGGTTTAGTTCGTTTTTTCTAGATCAGTTTAGTTTGTTTAGTAATGTTCCTTTTTTTTACGAGATGACTATCTATGTACTTATTGATGTTTTGTTTTAGTACTTTTCATGTTTAGTTTAAGTTACATCATTGGGGCAAATAACGCCTGTTCATGTTCAGTCATATAAATAAATAAATGAGGGATAAATCATGGCATTTAGCACAACTCTTTCAGATGGACACTCCGTGATTTCCTTGTGGACAGCAAACATGTTTTCAGAGTCAGGGTGGACCTCCTGTTGGTAAGCGGGTACCGGTACAGATGTTGCACTTGGTGTTAGTTTCGTCAATGTGCTCCCTGAAAGTCAGCCTGTTGTCTTGGGTTAGTCCCAGGTAGACTAGATCTGTCGACCATTCCACCACTAAGCAGTATAAGCAACTTTAGCTTATTCACAGAAGGATCAAGTCAGGGAGATTATAAGTGGGCAAAAATTATGACCTGGGTCTTCACCGCATTGCATAGTGCTTCCTGAGGCCAAAATCCGTGATTTTTAATATTTATTTAAAATTGTCCTGCCACCTTATTTTCCATAGAAAATCCAGCTGATAATATTTCATTCTAACATTTCGTTTTTTTGTCAGCAAAATCGGCTGGGCATTTACAATTTTGCATTGCGTTCCGAAGGTACCACTGCATACCACCCTCATATTCATTCTTCATAAGCACGATAGCTTCTAATCCCTGTCAGGGGGCCAACCTTCACCAGCCTTCACTGGACCCCTCCTCAAAACGCCAAAACAACTTGTTTTGACATATTGGACGAGCACAGCCGCGTGCGAGGGCCCATCTCCTGACCCCCTCCCCTCTCTCCCACTTCCTTCAAAGCTGGAGATTAAATCTTCTCCTTCCTACCCCGGCACGGAACTTCACGCAGCACCACCTCAATTTCATCGATAAGACACTTAAATTGTAATTTATAGCTGGCTGTATTATAATAATGTGATAATAGGCATAATATTTTCTCGAACAAATTGACTGACAAAGGCGCGCGCGCGCGAAACTGACAAAGAGAAAGAGGGACCTTCGGGCCGATCGACACCGGATGGCATTAGTTTTCATTCGGTGGCTGTTTTCCAGTCGCCCGCGCTCATCATCATCGACATCATGGAATCGAAGATTTGAACGCACGAGCCGTTTTTGACACCGAAGCGGAAGATACAGACAGGTACCTACAGACCACCAATCGGCTGGTGGAACATTTTCAAACTGGAACTCGCTGTGTGGCGGTGATTGAATAAATTTCGGGATTATGACGAACCGAATTACTGGCAATAAATAGAAAATCTGTATGCAAAGATGATAATTTGTCTCGCACGTCTGGAGCCACCGAACTATGCGACGTTGGCTTCTTGGGCTGTGCGGGTTTGGGGAGGTTGTGACATACCTGCTGAGTGGGATTTGGGGTTTAATTGATAAAATTGTCCGATTAATTTATGGATTTATGCAAAGTATGGACTTTTCATAAGTATTAACTGACTTTGCGTCAGCAGAGTTTGATAGGCACAATTTTGTGGCAATGGGTTCTGATAGGAATCTCTGTTTGTTATTGCTTTAATAATTTTATTGTTCAAACAACACCAGTTTACGGAATTAGCTTTCACATTGAGTCAACTCATGCATGTTTCTTCCGAACAATATTTACGCCACATTGTAGACTTGAACCTGAGGAGACGAGCAGTCACAAACGTCTGGATCACTGACCCGTTGCTTTGAGAATTCCTGAAGAAGCTTTGGGATAGGAAGAAGGGGCTCCAAGCACTTAACGAAAATCTGGTAATTTTGCGTTACGTCATCGGCACTGCAGTTTTCCTGAGCCACATCATCGACGCACTGTTGCGTTTCCGGGGTCAACAGAGCTTCGTTGCCGAACTGAATATATAAACGATTCAGTTGAACACCACTGTTGACACTGTAGAATCCAGCCCGAACAGCGATAACGTATAGGATTTTCGGAAATTGGTCATTGTTCAAAATGTTTCCCTTGCATAAATCAACTAACGTTTCTCCAGACAGCTGCAGATAGTCGGAAGTAGCCACTAAAACCTGGCCAAACTCCAACGGTGAGTCTCGCAGGAACTGATCACTTTCAACCAAGTCTCCATAGCTGCGGTAATAGCACTGGAAGGACTCATAGGCCAAACTGTCGACGTCTGATGGATCCACTCTTTCTGGAATCGAGTTGAGGCACACCTGGGTTCGGTTCTGGTAGCAACTATCAGCTGGCGACGGTTGAAAAAAGGCACTCATCTGAGGCTGCCAAACTCCGGTGGCATCATTATAGCTTTTCACATTCAACATAGAGCAACGTAATAGTTTTCGCACTATCGGTACGTTGGGAAAGGAGTCCGCTATGTACTGTTTCAGATCACAATTACTGATCTCGTTCAATTCGGCACATTCTCTCAGACCGGTGTCGAAGCTTTTTTCTAAATTGTAATGGGGAAGATCCGATCGCACCACTGACACTAGCCCGACGAGGGCGATGGCAACGAAGGTTCGCAT